CTACTGGGCGCCGTAGAAGGTGTGTCGTACTTGTGTTTACTGGCCATTTTGGTGGTTTTTGGGGTGCAGTATTTGGAACAGGGCTACATCCCCGGCCCTCTCCCGGCCGATCAGTGCTTCGGTTGATGTTTTCTTCAGCCTTAAGGTCTTATCTTGTGAATCTAATGTGTGTGGCTGTTGTTTCTCCAAGCGTGTACTGTAAATCGTAGGGTTCTTTTGAATCTCTCTGCATAGGACTTCGCCTTTGCTTTATTTGGGTTTTGAATATAGTAGCTATTTTTATCAAAACATTCACAAAATTACGATAATTATGCCATCTTTTTAATTAAAGTGGATTTTGTGTTTCAAACAAATATCTAAATTCTAGGTTTAGAGATCAATTCTATCTCTCTTTTTTTATTTTTTTATTTTTATAAAGAAGTGTACGAGTAATGGAGTACAGTGAACATGTGATAATCAACAAACTTTGTTTATTTAAATTGCAAATAAATTATCATAGTGGGGTTTTTTTTTTTGTGATTTTACTTTGTAACCGTTGACTAATTTTTTTTCCCTTTAGATCTATAAACTTTTAGGTGCAGTTTCTATTTTATTTTTAGTTTTTTATTTTTAAAAATTATGTTGCTTTTTATAATTTCATTGACAAAATTTTTACCTCTTGAATTCTTAGCTAAATTTAAAAAATGTTTATAAAAACTATCTAATAAAACAAAATAACATATAAGTCAATTTAATATTTTTAAGTTTAATTTTTAGAAACGTAGAGCAAAAAATGGAAGTATAAAATAGTGAAAGTTTAGATTTAAGTTACTAAATATCTAGTCATTTAATACTTCGGTTGTTTTTTAGCACAATATATATGAGGGTCATAGATTGAACCTTCAATCTCTAGGGAAGGAATAAGATACCTTACCTGATGAGTTATATTTGTTGGCTACTATCGTCATTGTTGGGTTCCCATCCGATTAAATTTTAACTAACTTATAAATTTTAATTTTGACCGTCAAACTTTTATTAAACTACACATTTAGTCCCTTCTGGATATAGATTTTTTGTCCTTTGAACAAAAATGCAGTTAAATAAGTAAATTTATAAGTTGAAGAATGAAACAGCTATGACAAAAAATTGTAAAGAGACAAAACAATATAATAAAAAAAATAGGCTTAATCTCATTATCAACCCTAAATGTTTTGGTTTATTCTAATATAATCACTAAACTTAAAAAAATAACTATTTTAATTTTTAAACCTCCCAAAAGGTCTATTTCACTTTTTGAACTTAAAAATAAATTTAAAAAATGATTTTGGCCGCTGTTGTTTTTATATTAGAAACTATGTATCAATTTTTTTGTCTCCTAATATTTACTTACCTCAATATTCATATTGACAAACTTATATAGCTTTCAATACATGTCCGTGTTGACATGTTAATACACATGCTCGAAATCGTGCTATATATTTGTTAAAAAAAATAGCATCGAGAAGGATAAAAATAATTAATTTTTATATCAAATAATTAATGTATAATAAATTTAAAATTTCATAAATTAAAATAGATTTTTCAAAAATTTATATCTAACATGAGATGGATATATATTTTAGTAAAGAGGCGGAAGATTTAAATTTAAGTAGAGGTGAGAATTTGAACCGGACATATGAATCTGAGATGTAATTGCTTCCTTTGAAAAGTTGGAGAGAGATATTTCTTAAAAAAAAAAAGGAAAAAAAAAGTTTGAGAGAGGATTGCAGAATGGTGTATAAATAGCCTCGATAAAACGTCAAACCTTTTCCGCCTTCTCGCTGCCGCCTCCAGTTCCTTCCGTTCCGACTCGGCTGTGTTCCAATTAGATCCGACCAAGAATCACTCACTGATGTTTTTCGTCCACTCCATTTGATCTCTGCTATCAATCGTCTGTCCTCGTATTGACCTGAGCGACGATCGCGCGCTGCCATGGGAGATTACAATGATGCCTTCATGCGGAACCAAAACGCCGCCGTCCAGGCTCGCACCAAGGCCCAGAATCGCGCCAACGTCCTCCAACTCAAGCTGGTACGTGTTATGGTTTCGATTATTGTTAATTTTTATGTAGTTACCTTCGGCTTTGTTCGCTTGAAGTTAGCTAGGGTTTCTAGAAGTTATTTCGCAATCTTTAATCAGAAAGAGATGCAGTTTTGTTGTTGTTGGTTTTTTTTTTTTGTGTCACTAAATTATGCATAGGTGTTGCTGTGAAAGTATCCGTTTATTATTATTATTTTTTATTTTTGTTTATCGATGACAAATTAAGTTCTATCCATCGAATGACCCAATAATTGGTAATAATGTCTCGGAAAAGGAGAATGGTTTGATGCGATACTTGTCTATTATCCTTGGGGGTTGGGACTATTTGTATTTAACTTTTATCCACATGAAGATTATGGTTTTTGAAGAAGCTGATGGGTTTGTAGAACAGTTGATTGGTTTCTTAATTTTGCTACTCGTGCAGATTGGGCAGAGCCATCCTACTGGTCTTACGGCCAATCTTCTGAAGCTGTTTGAGCCTCGACCGCCTCTGGAGTACAAACCTCCCCCGGAGAAAAGAAAATGTCCACCCTTAACAGGTTTTGAGTACTTACCAAAACCTGCGTGTAATTTATTGGTTTCTCTTCTACTTTTTTTTTTCCTTTCCTTTTCCGGTGGGATAGCAATATTATTCTATCTTATCTTCTTTTGAAGGGATGGCCCAGTTTGTTAGTAACTTTGCGGAACCCGATGATCCGGAATATGCTCCCCCTGTTCAAAAGGGTGAAACTCCTGTAAGATAATTCACCTCTTAATGATAGTCTGAACCTCGTTCATTAAGAGAATTCCTTCTAAGATTGAATTTAAATCAACCTGTAACGTCTCCCAATATATGTATAGAGTATGTATGTTTGTTGTATGTGTTGTAAGGCACGTTAGTGTTGCTTAATGCTTATAACTCGGGGGCTGTTTTGAAGCTTGGTGCATATTGCAAAATAGTTTGTTTCAAAATACTAATTTAAGAATTTTGATCAGGTGGCTTGTAAATTTTAAGGGCGTTGTTAAACAATGCATTTGTCCATCTTTTTGAAGGAAGCAATACATCAACTGTTTTAAAAGAAACAGAAAAATCAAACCAATATGTTTGAACTGAACTTTTGTTATAAGAAAAGGGGAATGATTTTTAAGAAACGACTTCTGTGCCTCTCCTTATTTATAGTGATGTCTCAGTAGTTAATCTATACTGCAGACTGACTAGTAGTAAAAGTTTTTATTGTTCCTAGTTAAGCGATCCTAACTAATTTGAAGATCTGGGTTTGCTAAATGATGGTGAAATGTGTGTAAAGCTACGGGAATTGGAGAAGTAACTACTGAAGATTCTGAATAATCTGACAGCACCACTTTTCATGATGCTTTTTTTTTTAATACAATCAATGGATCCAGGCACAAAGGAGGGCTAGAATTCACTTGCTAAGAATTGAAAAGGGTGCAGAGAAAGCTGCTGAGGAGCTGCCAAAATGTGATCATCTCTTCAGCATTTACCCTGATTTTGTAGTTAAAATGCTTTCATTGTCTCGTTTCTTACACATGTACATTGTGCAGACCTTGAACGTGATGATCCAAATGTTACAGGAGATCCGTACAAAACACTCTTTGTGGCTAGACTGGTGTGTTAAAATGTACTGTACATAGTGCTTCTTGAATTTAAGTTAAATGTTTAACTTAAAAATCATTGTTACCCATTTGCAGAATTATGAGACAACTGAGAGCAGAATCAAAAGAGAGTTTGAGTCTTATGGGCCAATCAAGCGGGTAGGTATTTGAGCATCCTCATGGGGCTCGGTAAGAGGTTAATATTTGTGTGGTTGATTGAATAATTTTTTGTTATTATTAAAAAATATTTTTTTTGGGTAGTTATCATGTCTTTGGATAATGATTTTGGGTCCTTTTTCCTTCAAAAATATTTTCTATGATCTATGACATTCTAAACCTAAGCATGGATTTTCTAGATTTTCTTGTAATGTTTTTCATTGTTGTAGTGACAATACGGGCATGCTTTCTCTTTAAATAACACATCAGGAAAATTCCACTGGCCATCCAAAGTATGTATCGACATGCAGGTCTCTTATTTGTTCTTTTTGTTTTTTCCAACTTTTCCCCCATTTTAAGTAGTAAAAGCTAGTAAATTTTTATGGGAGAAATGGGAGTAAAAACATATTTCTACCTGACTGAGTCTATACGGTGGAATCAAGTTTGAAGAAAGATTAAGGCCAAACATCCCTGGACTCATCATCGATAATTCAAGCTCCCAATAGTCTCTCAGGTAACACTGCTGATAGGCAGTAATGACTTTCTTGTGTGTTTCATTTTCCTCTTAGTGACCGTGTCTTTGCCCAGATATAGTTTGGCTAGAGAATTCTTGAGGCGTGACGTTAATAGGAAACTCCTTAGTAAAATTCTATATATCAAGAATTCCTGGTAAGGAGGCAGTGATTCTACATTCAGCCAAATATCATTCATGATATCGATATTTCTGGTTCTGATCCAAAAGATGGTTCTTCACCATGCATGGCAAAGCTGAAAATTTTAGGTTGGACAGTGGAGTGATGTGCTATGCTTTTTGGCCTTTATATTCAAGCAACAAAGGAGATTGTCAAATTCCTTATTTTTCTGCCTTGGGTAAAACACATAGGGAGTATTAGCATCTCTCTCTCCTTTGAATTTTGTAATGCGTGCATTTTCTGCTGCTAAAAGTTTTACTTTTGGCTTTAAAGGCATCAAAAAATATCGCCGTTGAGAAGATTTCCTGGTATTTCTCCCGTATTACATATACCTTTTTTCATTATTTGAAAAATAATTTCCCTGGTAAGGGGAGTTTAGTATGTTCAACAACTGGTAAAATGGCCACAAATACTTCAGTTTTTCCGACTCTAGCTGGTGGTGATGCATCCCGCGATGGAAGCTCTATGATTTAAAGGTGAGCACGGCTAATTAGGCATAGTGCCTGTCTGCCGTGCCAATAGGATTTAGCTTATAATGAACTTTCTTACAGCTATAAACTAATAAAAGCTTATGGAGAATGTATAATAGAAAGAGATTTTAACTTTTCTTCTGCAATATGACTTCTTGTTTGTGTATTTTTCTGTGTTTTTCAGGTACGATTGATTACAGACAAAGTGACGGGTAAACCTAAAGGATATGCTTTCATTGAGTACATGCACAAAAGAGATATGAAAGGTTTGTTTTAATTAATTTGTTTTTTTCTTCCTTTTTCTATTTGATTAACTCGAATACTAATTACTCACTTTCATTTGAACTCTAACAGCTGCATATAAGCAAGCTGATGGAAGAAAGATTGATGGTAGAAGGGTACTTGTGGATGTCGAGCGAGGTAGAACAGTACCGAATTGGCGTCCTCGCCGGCTGGGTGGTGGTCTTGGAACTACCAGAGTGGGAGGTGAAGAAAATAACCAGAGGCACTCTGGAAGGTAATTAAGCTGTTGTCAACAGCTCTTGCTCTTTCAAGTGCAAGCCACTGAGAAGTATTGATAAATATTGAACAATGAAACAACAATAGATACATAGCAATGATAATCAGTTCTCTTTCAAGTGCAAGCCATTGATAAGTATTGATAAATATTGAACAATGAAACAATACTGGATACGTAGCAATGATTCTCAGTTTAGTGGTTTTGTGCATCGAGCAGTTTTATTTATTTTTTTTGTTTATTGCTGAAGATTTTGAAGACAATACTGGGTTTAGGATATTGTACAAGCTGAAGGCATCTGCTTTTTGTTCAGGGAGCAACAGCAGTCTGGAGCACCATCTCGATCAGAGGAGCCTAGGGGGCGCGAGGATCGTCATGGAGAAAGGTATGATGTTTCATAATATTGTTCTCTTCATTTTAGTTAATATATGTGTGCCATTAAGTATGCTTCTTTTGATTAATAATTGCAGCAATTGAAGTTTACTCCGGATTTCACTTTTCTTATTGGCAATATTGTTATTTTTAAGATGCTACGTAATCAGGCTTCTATTTAACGTTTTCAGAGATAGGGAAAAGTCTCATGAGAAGGGAAGAGACAGAGAAAGAGAGAGAGAGAAGTCACGTGAACGTTCTCATGAGAGATCTAAGGATCGTGACCTCAGAGAAGACAGGCATCACAGAGATCGTGATAGGACTAGGGATAGGGACAGGGATAGAGAAAGGGAAAGAGAGAGAGACCGTGGCTATGACCGTGATAAAACTCGTGATCGTGATCGAGGAAGGGATCGTGGTCGTGATTATGAGCGTGATCGAGATCGGGATCGGGATCGTCATCGGGACAGAGATAGGGAGAGGGATCGGAATCACGAAGATGGATATCCAGAACCTGATCGTGGTCGCTCTCATGATAGGGAATCTGATTATGACCGAGTTGAATCAAAATATGAAAAGGATAGACATGGTGATCGGGACAGAGAGATTGATCGTACTGAAACTGAGGATGGTCGTGGGTGGTATGACCAGTCTGAGCATGGGCACAGACACCCAGATCCTGACCATGATCCCCAATACTATGATCACTTTGAACATAATAGAGGCCGAGGGCAATATGACGATAACCCAGAAGGCCATCATGACCAAGACCGTTATGATCAGTATGATAGAATGGAGGATGATTATCATTATGAGCGTGGCACTTCTGAATCACATGATAAAGAGAGGTCTCGTGATATGAATCATGAATATAGGCGCAGTGAAAGATCCCATTCGAGAGAGTATTAGTTTCTCATGCTGCAGTGTGTTTTGCTGGTAAGTATCTACTGACTAACCACTGTTTTATTTCCAATGTATAAGCAAATATTCGCCCATATTCCTGAATGTTCTTTTCCAGGTTAAGATCATATCAAATTGCGTTAAAATTGTCATGTAGCAGCTGCGACCAGTGCTGGAATTGTCTTCTTTCTGTTGTTAATCGACATCGAAGTTGCTCAAACATCGTTTCATATAGCTTGATGCTAACTGTTGCAGATTTTTGCGCTGTTTATTTATGTGCTAAAACTTCTAGACATACTGTGTATTTAGTTTGTATGACCATGATTTTTAAGCTCCTAGAGTGTTATAAGTCATTTTGAATGCTTGATTTTATTGAACATCATTTTGTTGGCATCAAGGTCGTCAAATGCTGTGGAGTGGTGTACGTTTGCTATGGAAACTGCTCAAAGTTCAATCAAACTTAGATTTGTCAAAACCAATGTCTTTTTCCTTTTGCCAAGTGTCCAAGTCAATGTCAGTGGTTGACCTTTTGGACTTTTTTGACGCTATAGCAGTTTGTAGCAAGGGCTACAATGCCAAAAATTTTCTCCAGTGAGAAGTATTTACATTTGCTAAAAATTGTGGTATAAATTGCAATCGACGAGCGTTTTACATGATGAATTTTAGGAGTTCTAATGGTTTCCACCCATTTGGATCAATGGCTGTTCTAAAGCTCTCCGTTGGCATGATGCCAACTTTTGCTCTGCCAATCTTTAGTTTCTAGTCTTATTTTTTCTTAATATTCTTAGTAACTTTGCCCTCTTTTCCCAACTCATGATAGAGGTTTTGTTTGACCGTGTTTCCCACATTGTAATGGAAAAGAAAGAAAAACGAAAGATGAGGGGTTCTGGAGGAGAATGTTTACATTGAGAATTGATGATAAAATATTTTTTTTATTTTTTATCTTTGGAAAAAACTAGAAACCGAGTACAAGGGCTTGTTTGATAAGTTTTTGTTTATTGTTTCTCATTTTTCAATTCTATTTAGAAATCTAAGAATTTTACAACTATTTATGTTTCGTGTTTTCCATTTTGTAGAAACATTTTTAATATTGTATAAAAATTTTGAAAATAATAATTTGTTTTCTGTTCTCGTTTATAACTTGTTTTAACATAAATAAAATTATTGTTCATATAATTTTTTAATTTATTAAAAAAGATGAAGCGAAAACAAGAAATAAAAATGTTATTAAATGGGTCTATGAACTAAACTTGTAATTTAAGCAACATTTAACAAAAATGTAATGGGGATATTGAGAAATGTTCCATTGTCGGGGAATCGAACCCGGGTCTCCTGGGTAAAAGCTAGATATCCTAACCGCTGGACGACAACGGATTGTTGAAATTATTTCGTTTTAATAAGAAATTGTAAGCTCCGTAACGACCTCTTAAATGGAGAAAGAAATGGTGGGATTTTGTCGTTGGGCGAGTGTTTGTTGCCCGTTGCCCCTCCCACATGGAGTTGTGTTCCCTTCTTCCATACTTTAATGGGCCGAATGTAGATTTTGGGCTTCAGTTTCTATTGGCCCACTGGATTGGCAGCAAATACCCCATCAAAACAAGTCGAATATGTTTAAATCCGAGCAATAAAAAATAGGAAACTACAATATATCAAAGGTTACAATTTATCAGTTCAATGATAATTGACATATATCTCTAATAAAAAAATTATAAATTCGATCTCCCACTCCCATATGTTGTACTAATTAACTATAATGATAATATATTCTCTCAAAACAGTTATTATTGTGAATACAACTAAACATTCGGGACATATAAGGGCGCACATAGATTATTAAAATATTTTTCTAACCCATTTCTTCCTATCTACAACATATGTACTTTCTTTCAAGAGCTCATTCCAAATTTAAATGTCTTTCAACTCAACGAGATTCAGAGAAATTAAATTATATATAAAAAAAAACATTTGAAGAACTTGGGGGTGGGATGTTTCTAATGTTTGGAAGCATCCAATAATTGAGGCAAAGATACAATGAACATTTCTAACCAGATAACTATGTGTGCTTCATTTTATGTTGGGTACCCAATTGTCATCACTCTCACACACATTTGTATCAATTAATTTGACTCTAATTTTCCAATATCTTACCAAACAAACTTATATTTTCTTAGCTCCTTGTTATAAACCCTCCTTTGCTAATTATTAACACTTTGTGCTTTATGTTGAAATTAAATGTACTGGATAAAGCCATTTCTAGAGGATCGAAAGAGTGTCGAGACAAAATCGGAGTTGTCCTCTCATTGTCGAGATTAACGTGTTTCAAATCTCTTACCGAAAGAGTTCTTATCGACATGTCATGTGTTATCATAATGCAATGTGAGAAGAAGTAGAAATCAAGTAGCTTTCTTACAAAAAAAAACATTCATTCATCATTTTTCTTTAAATAAGCAGGAAAGAAAACTCATTCTTCATCTATTAAGTTTTAATATTTAAAAATAAAAGACTTAATAGAACTGAGGTTTGGGTTTTGAAAATTTTGTTATGAACATGTGTCTAGAAATAGGAAAGAGCTTTAGAAGGTTTGATTGGAAAGCTGGGCCCCAAAATGAAATAAATATTGAATATGATCGCACCACTATTTCAAGACCACCTAAATTATCAAATTTTGTAATTTTGATTTGCCTTTTTTTTCCGTGTTAAATGAGATATAGGATGGAAATTCAAACTTTCGATGTTTTCAGGTTAATTTTAATTTCTGCTGATGTATAGTTATACTTTTAAAAACTTAAATTTAATTTTTATTTTCTTAAGATTAAATTTTACCATCCTAATTTATCCTATTTCTAGTTGTCTACACATAAAAAAAAATGACAGCAAATTGATTTGTCATTATAAATTGTGTAGCATGCATGGTAGTGGTAGAGAGGTTGATCAAATTTTAGATTTAATAATTATTGAAATCAAACTGACGTGGGGATAAATAATTAAGATATAATTACTTATCTTCTAAAAGTTTGAAGATTCAAATCCTCATGTTCTTATCATCAGTAGATGTGGCATAGTAGACCTATGGTTGAATGGGGATACCTCCTCTCCAATTCGAACTTCACGACAAGTAGTCGGATTTCCTCCCTCGATGAGTAACGGATCCTGAATGAGTGGCTGTTAAGAAATTTTTGGTGTAAGCCATAGCAACAATTCAATT